AGAAAGCAATAGCAACATACTAAACGATCGGGTGCTAAGCTAATGGAATGTGTCATGTCAATCAGATCATTCATCTAATGATGTGATCCCGTTAATCAAATAACAACTCTTTGTTCATGGTTAGGAAACATAACCATCTTTGATTAACGAGCTAGTCAAGTAGAGGCATACTAGTGACACTCTGTTTGTCTATGTATTCACACATGTATTATGTTTCCGGTTAATACAATTCTAGCATGAATAATAAACATTTATCATGAAATAAGGAAATAAATAATAACTTTATTATTGCCTCTAGGGCATATTTCCTTCACCTATGTCTCGCCATCTGGAAGAAGGAAAACAGAGGGGAGGGGGTCGTCTGATCCACGCATGCGGATCATTTTTTACTCCCTCATAATCTAGGTTTTTAGGATCTTCATCGTCATGACTTCGGCGACGACGATGATGTCGTTGTATAAAGTTTCTTCGGATCCTTCCTTGACGAGGCCATCGGTTCTACGGGTGGAGATGAATTTGAAAACCAGTCTGTTCAAGCAAAGATGGCGTGGAGGCTGCGGTATCCTCGTGGTGGACCTATGTCCTGGGCTCCGCCGTTGCGACAGCGTTTGCTCCAGCGTCGGCGCGGAGCTTGGGAGGTAATCCAGGAGCGGATGCAGATTGTGGTCTGCATCGACATCATCTGGAAGATGGAACGTGTGCTGGATGCGTGGTTTGTGGATGGCAGGTATAGTTTCCTCCTTCGGTGTCTTAGTCGTAGTAGGGTGCTAGATCTGGAGTTCGATGGCGTGTCCGGGATGTTGCCCCGGTCTGATTCGTTCAACGACAAGGGCTTGACTTGTGGCGAGCCACCTTGGAGATCTGCAAAGCTGCATATCAGCGATGGAGCCTCATCAAGCTCGGGTGATGAGGTGATCCGTCATTCTTCTTTTCGGAGGCAGGTGACGGGCGTTGGTGTCAAGCTCCGATATGTTCAGCTATCTTTTCAATTTTGTCATGTCGGTCTTTAGGTGACTTGTACTTTGTTATTTATGATATGAGTGAGATATGTATTACCATGCAAAAAAGAGAGAAGGAAAAGGAGGAGCGTCCGTTCCCAGCCTCCTAAAGGGTCACTTGGGATGGGCTGAGAGCGCCTCACTTGGCGCGCTCTCAGCCGCCGCCACCTGTTGCGCTTTGAGCGCTTCCTTCGTATTTTGTATTTTCATTATTTTCCACATGCATTTTCGGATTTTGATGTTTTCTTTTCTTTTTTTGGCTTTCGATTTTTCATCGGTCTTTCTTATCTTTTGGACAAAAAATTACCAAAAAACATGTTTTATTTTTTTCTCCTTTCCGTGAGAGGCATTGTTTTGCTTCCGCGAGAGGCACAACTATTGCTTCCGCGAGAGGCACGGCTGCGCCTCTCGGAAACAAAAAAAAAGTGTTTTCTCTCTTTTTTTCCTTCCGCGAGAGGCACGGTTTTGCTTCCGCGAGAGGCATGGCCGTACCTTTCTAAAACAAGAAAAACGTGTTTTTCCTTTTTTTCCTTTCGTGAGAGGCACGATTTTGCTTTCGCTAGAAGCATGGACGTGCCTCTCAGAAATGAAAAAAATGCGTCTTCTCTTATTTTTTTCCTTTCACGAGAGACACGGTTTCGTTTTCGGGAGACACGGTTTTGCTTCTGCGAGAGGCACGGCCATGCCTCTCAGAAATGGAAAAGAAACGTGTTTTTTTGTGAGAGGCACGATTTTGCTTTCAAGAGAGGCATGGTTTTACTTCCAAGAGAGGCACCGTGCCTCTCGAAATCAAAAAAATGTGTTTTTTCCTTTCGTGAGAGGCATGGTCGTGCCTCACGAAAAACGGATTTCAAAAAAGGTGAAAAAAAATCATGCTTCCTGTTTTGTTTTTTGTCCTTTTTTTCGTGAATAGAAAGTTTGTCAAAACCTATCAACATGGCATCTAGTTTTCAAAATCACGACTCAAGAAATCCAACGTTGAAAACGATTCGTGATTTGGACGTATGGTTTAAAAGATAAATCATTTTGAATAAACGAATCTACGGAAAAAATAAAAAACTCATAGGTAGCACCACTTGTCGCAACCTGAAGAAGTGAATGTAATTTTTGAAAGGAGTACTCTATAATTAGTGACAGGCGAACCAACGTGTGGTTGGGTGGTTAGATGGACAGTGGTATCCCATCTCATTAGGGTTCAAGTTCCGGTACTCGTATTTATACCGATTTATTTCGTGATTTTCGGTGATTGCACGGTCAGTGAGAAAAGACGTTCTGTCAACTACGAGGCAGCGGTCAGTGAGAGAAGATGTTCTATCGACTACAAGGCAGCTACGTCGACTTTATAAAATCTCAAGATGATGTGCCGACTCAGTTTTTTAAAGATGCTTATAAGGACAGAGTTTACGTGTGTGCGTTCATTGAGGTAAATATATGCACGTATCTATATGAGCACTTGCGTCTGCACCGTGATAAAGTATTTTTTGTGATTTCGGAGGACGACGGCCTACGTGTGTCTGCGTCGCTCCGTGCGTCCAGCCGTAGAGTACGGTCCCGTCTCTACTATGAGCGTACCATGTACGATCGCGTGGACTTCGGGGGCCCCTCCACCCGGCCCCGGGGAGATCACGCCTCTCCCGTCGCGAAATACAGCACGTGGGCCATGCATTTGCCGTTGGCTCGTGGCTCGTGGGGAATGTTTCGTGCCTTCGTCAGAGGAAGGGATGAGCGGAGAGCTACGGGCCAGTGCAATCAATGCTACCGCGCATTTTCTTCGGAGGAGCGGATTTTTCAATCGAGACGTTTCTTGATTTCTTGGGATGTTTCACTGTCAGAAGAGATGATGGTGGCCATCCTGAGCGTGTAAACGCGGCATGTGTGCGGTGAGGGTTTTCAGTCTAGCAGCCATTAGGGACCGCAGGGGCGTGACTTGTTTTATTTTATTTTGTTCTAACCCTATCCATATATCCATATGGTTTATTCTCTTATATGAAAAGTCTTATAAAATAGGAGGTATAAGAAATTCATATAATGATGTTTTTGATTTTATTTTTCCTTTTAAACGAAGGCAAAAGCTTTGCCTCATCCATCAAATAAGGAGAGAATGGAATTTGTTACAACATACACCTGAAATTTATTTGTTTAATTGATCAATAACCAAACTACCATTTTACGAAAAAAGGAGCATGGTCTTATTCAAGTTCCAACCGCTCCATAATCTTCAATCAGCTCTGTCTTCTGTGCTTCAATATAATTTTCCAAAGTAAGCGCCATAACTTGTTTTCAATACTCCGAGGTTACAGGGGTCTAACCTGTGTCTGTCGTAAGAACTCTTAGCTATATGGAACCAAAACATCATCGCACTTCAGAGAACATTTTCCTGCCTACGGTTCGTTACGTCAAGAAATATGGCAGTTAGAAGCCCAACCAAGAACGGTTGCTTTGAATTGTTTTCATACTAGATTAGCTTCTTCTCCTCTAACCCTAAACAGTTAGGCCAAACTCTTCCCTATAGGCTTCATCGGCGAGCCTATGGATTCGTTTCATCTTTGCCTGCCGCTCCGGCGGTCAATGGCGGGGATGAGAATCCCGGTGACCTTCGCTCGGGTTCATAGTTTAGGTTAGGTTTTTTCATCCTCGTAGGTGTGACACTCGGACAAATGGCGACACTTTTTCTTTGACTTTGTCTTCCGGTCCCCAACCCTCCTTGAGTTCGTCTGTCTTGGCGTAGTCGACGGAGCTCTGCGTAAATTCTTGCCTTCTTCTTAGGCCGGTGAGATTAGGATTTCTCGTCATGTGGTGTCATTTGGTCTCAGGTGCTTCAGATCTATGCAAGAATATAATGGCGACGAATGCGGCTCTGGGACACTGGTCCTAGGGGCACGTCCATGAAGACTTTCAGGCTATCATCGACAAGGTCAAGCCACCGACTCCGGTAAGGGAGCGGCGACAACAGGGTGTCGGTGACTCATTTTGGCGGCAATAGTCATCATTTGGTGGTCTCAGAATCTTAATGTTATTTTTTCAAATATTTGAGATGCTTTGCATTTTCGCTGAACTTTTATAATGAATCTGATCTCGCAACGAAAGGTTAACCGAGTAAAAATAAGATTCCACCATTTTCACATGCTGATGAGACGCACGTGCATTGCATTGTAAAAGAAGTAAACAATGATGATTTCACTACAACCGTGAGCTATCATGCATATGTGATCGTGGGAACTTGAGAGGAGAGATCTGAACGCAGAGAAAAACTCATCCAAGATCACCATCCTTGTTCATTGCTAACAAGAACAAAGAAGGAGCAATGCTACACACACGGACATCTCTTTTACGGGGTTCACAGAGAGGCTGAGGTGGGCTTTTTTGATTGGGTGTAAATCAGGCTGAGAAGCCCACCCTAACTAAAAATCAGTGAAAAATAATAATACCTTTCCATTCCCCTGATTTTATCCAACCAAAAACTCCCACCTAAGCCCTCACGTAAATTCCCAAAGGATTACTCCCCCCATTCAAAAACGGTATAATGGCTTTACTTCAGATTTAAACTAAAGTTGAACTAAAGTCACGACAGGTAATGTGCGTTCAGTGGGAGAAGATGTTTCCGTCGACTACGAAGACGTCCGTGACAACTTCGTTAACCTCTAGATGGTATCGGCTCAGTCTCTCGAAAATGCTCGTAGGGCTAGAATGTGCAGTGCGTGCGTTCCTAAGGATGAGTATATATGTGTATGTATGATCGTCATTGTCTTGTCTCCGTCTCTATTGTCTGTTGTGTTAAAAAAAGTTACCAGGACGCTGAGCATTCTAGAACAACAACGTCGCGGTTCAAATCCCTCCTATGTTATCCTTTTTTCGCCTAATTATATGGATATATACGACAGAATTATATATAAAAACAAAGAGTTGGACCATTCTTCCACCACCATGAGACCATCACCACCACCACCACCACCAACCCCGCTTATATAGACGCCACTGGCGGAACAAGAAACAGCACTTGCCATGGCTGAACTCGAGCGTCTCAACATCTCCTGCAACCTGACACGCACGCCGGCGCCGCTGCGCCCTTCGTGCGATCCGCCACCGACCCTCCTCGCCGCGCTGGTGGTACTTGTCTTCTGGCTTTGGGGGAACCTGCACCTGCCCCCTTTGCCTGACGGGGCGCCCGACCCCGACCAGATCCCGGCGATTCCAGAGGACGCTGACGAGGCTGAGGTGGAAGCCGCTGCCATACCTCCCGATGGCGCTGGCACGCCTCCTCGAAGCGAGCGCGAGCCGTACGGCGACGGCGGGGGCGCCTCAAGCAGCGGCAGACAGGAAGCAGCCCCGGCCGCGGCTGCACACTTCCGGAGGGATCCGTCGTCAATCCGGTACCAGGAAGCAGAAGGCGCCGCTGCCCTCCCTCCAGCTGGTACGCCTCCCCGAGGCGAGCGCGAGCCGTACGGCGACGGCGGGGGCGCCTCATGCAGCGACAGGCAGGAAGCAGCCCCGGCCGCGGCTGCACAATTCCGGAGGGATCCGTCGTCAATCCGGTACCTGGAAGCAGCAGGCGTCGCTGCCCTCCCTCCCGCTGGCAAGCCCTACGGCGCCGGCGGGGCCGCCTCGAGCAGCGGCAGACACGAAGCAACCCCGGCTGTGGCTGCACACTTCCGGAGGAATCCGTCAATCACGTACCATGAAGTAGCAGGCGCCGACTCCGTGGACATGATCCGAGGAGGCTCGTGCGAGTGCGATGCAGGGGCTTGTGTGGAAGTGGAACGCCGAGCCTTCGTCCATGTTACATTCGACAGGTGAGCCTTTTTTTTAAGTTGTTCTCAAATTTTGGAAACCAATTAAGCCTTCGTATTCTACTACTACTACTAGTAGTTATTTGGTAGGGGTGAACTGGTGCTTGTAGCTCGTTTTTTTGTTTCCTTAATAGAAATCGGAGGGGGGGAATGTGGCAGTATGTCATTTGAGTTATTCCTTTTCCCCCCGATGATTTAAGGTATTCCAGATTGTTCCTAACAGTGTGATGTCTTGGTCTTTTAACAGATCTGGTGAGGCTGCTGGTATCCTTCAGAAGATGGTGGATGGTTTTGGGACAATACTTCTCAGCGCAGATGACGTCGAAGAATCCACAATTCATCTAGCAAACAGACATCTCGTTGAAGCTCTGGAATCAGCACATGCCATCGGATGCACGGCTGATTTTCTCTCTCAGATGCTTGACGGCTGGGGCTGTAAGCTGGAGGGGGATGCGCGAAGGATATGGCAGGGTGAAAAGTGTAGAGAATACATTTTCCTGTTCAGCAATGCATATGATGTTTTGCTGATTATGCGTGGTCGAGGAGCAACCTTTTCAAACGTAGAACTAGAGAGTAGGCTCAGTGCGATGTTCCGTCGATACAAGACCAGCTACTTGGATGAGTGCTGGGCGCCTCTGATGAACTACCTAGACCGTTTGGATAAGTTTAGTGATGAATTTTGTATCATCTGCAGACGTCAGATGACACTGAAGGTTAATGCTAACCTCAGGTACAAGCTACGGAAAGAGATTGTGGGTTTGATTGTTCCACAGTACCAGGTTTCATTCTTGGCCCAGAGGAAGAATCAGAGTCGCCTCTCACGGGTGCTACATTGCCGAAAGCGAGTCATGGCAGGAAAACAAAAGATGTGCACTGCCGAGGAATTGGAAATGGTGATAAATGATTTGTTTGAAGGATGATCTGAACCTAGTCCTAGGGCACCGGTTTACTCATTTGTTCTAGTTCTAACGTCCAAACGTTCCACGTGTATATACATTTTGGGGCGAATTGCATTGTGTGTATATATAATTCTTTTATCCGTGCGTCTCATCAGGTGTCCCCGGCCCCGGTACGTACTAACCTTGTTGTGATTAGGCTTGTACCTTGTGGATTTGGGGCTATTGTTTGTGGTGCTGCCCCCGGCCCGGTGCGAACCTCTTTATTTTCCGTGATTCTATTGCTTTCCTTTTGAATTGTATAAACTTGGTATACTTGATGGATGTGGTTTATATATAAAGCGGGAGCGAGCCTTTTCCATCATAAGCGTTGAAAAATGAGCGGGAGAAAAATCAGCACAACCAAGCATGACGTACGTGTTCGGCAAAACACAATGTCTACTCGTATTTTACTTTGCGTTGAACCGTCGACCCTCACCTTGCCGTCCAGTGAGCCGTGCGGAGAAGGGGAAAAAGGACAAAAACAACGAGTATCTAGATGCAACAGGGGCTCGTCGGCAATAGAGCATAGAAAATGGAATCACCTCGCTGAACGGAACCTGTTGGTGGCTTGGTGCCCGACGGTCTCGGGCAACTGCTGCTGCCTGGCGGTAAACATGCCGGCCTCCGGCCGCCCGCCCTGGGTGTGAAGAATGCGCAGAGGAGAGAAGAAAAGACAAGTGTGTATTAGGATAAGGCTCATGCCCGTGTGGGTAGGGAACAAGAGGTGATCGTTGTTGCTTGCCTGTGTACACACCTAGTTGTACCAGAGAAGATGCTTTGTACCAAATCGAAGGAGAAAGATGCTTTGCTTATACTAGTTCAACCAGCACATTACAGTAAGATAAGATTCCCCTGAGCCGGTATTGGTGGCGTCGGCCTCGCGTGCCCACCCAGCGTCGCTGTGTTTGTTTTTCATAGACAGAGCTATTTGCCTTTTTGTTTCTGTCATTTGAAAGTGAGTTACTTTCTTCGAGAGTTAACAGTAATTTTTGCAACTTTATGGGAATTTTGGAGAATAATTTATAAACTTTTGGCTGAGTTCAGTCCCATATTTAAATTTCCATGGCATATAGCTAATTGCGAACAATTGGATTTTAGCACAAGCCCACCCATCTACCAACACAATATGCCACAACTTCCGTATGAGATTTCAAGATATCATCCCCTACTGAAAATATATTATCCAATGAATTTCATCCACACTGGTAAATCTAATGAATTTCATCCAAAATTTTAACTGAAATATTGCTTCCTTAATATAATTGAGGCCGTGTCATGTTTCCATGATAAAGGAAAAGAATATTGATATCAAGTGGGTATTAATTAATTTACGCCTTTTTCAAGTTGAATGGGGTTTTATCTAAATTATATCCAATAAAAAGAAGTATTCAATGAGTTCCACTTCCACATAAACAACATTGAGGATTTTAGGAGGTTCCTCATCTCCTTGGATAGCAAGTACAACTATTTTTTTTGGTGTTTCGTGTTCCTTATCCATAACTAAAGATAGAAAATAACTAAAAATGGGAAATAAAATCTACTAAGTGATAAACCCAACAAATGCACACGAGAATATTCATCCTACATGCTCTGCGGCAACGGCACCATAAAAAAGCTTGATAATCATCAAGTGCAAGAAATTATCGTATAACTTTTCAATGATGAAGGTGGTAAGTATGGAGTGTTGAACTCACAAGGAGCTAAAGGTAGGATTAGTATTCTCATGTCCTATCTGCCACTGATACAACCCTATGCATGATAAGTGTTTGCTTCACTTTGCAGATGTGGAAGTATAGTTTTGACGCGTAATAAAGAACTTGCAAATAAAAGTTAGGCGATGTATAAATAAAGTTAAAATAAAATAAAGATAGTGAGCGTGAAAAAATGGTTGTAGGATGTGTGTAATTGTCTCTAGGCAATTAGCTAAATTATTATATCAATTATTATCATTCCAGTTTTATATATGGGAGAGACTTATACTAAAATACCATGCGTACTTGGAGTCATATGTTCTTATAATTGGAACTATTAGTAAGCACACCCAAATACTAACACGTTCATTAAGAGAAACCCAACCATTAAGATATACTAGTAGATACCCCGCGCGTTGCTGTGGAAATTTGTAGTCTTTTATTGAGCATATCTCTAGAGCATAACACAATTGGTAAACTGGTAATTGAATGTGTCAAAGGGCTGAGTGCGACTGCAAGTAAACAAAAGATTTTCCATGTGATCGATCAAACAAAGCTGTAAACCCATTAGCTTACCAAAATATATTCATGAAAAAAAAACAATGTACTGTAAAGATATCCCAACATTCTATAAATCCCCTTCTAAAGGAACAAACAATATTTTTGAACTGCTTCTATTTTCCATTGAAAATGAAACCCATGAGCCTAAAGAAAGGAAACTAACAGTGGAACTTGGGGATATAGTTTAGAAAGGTGAAAAAAGGTTGGATACATCACATACAACTATAGATCACAAATTGAGCATACAACACAACGCACAAGCAAACCCATTTTATTAAAATGGCCACCAAAGAATCGTGTTTGTGGAAAATTTCAAACATCACTTGCAATCAATTAAATAATAAACATAGCACTCCATAACAAAGCTCTCTAGATCTGCATAAAAATCAATGAGTCAGGAAATAGTAAATTGTGTCATGTCCTATGTTGGAATCAAAAGCATAAATAAGCTTGACCTTGAATGGAAACTTAAAAACCTAGCATATCAAAGCAATTGAGGGAGGTCTTGTTCAACAATATTAGGATACTAACCCGACCCTAGGAAGTTGACTAAATACTGACTTTTAGATGTCGACAAACAATGTATGGGAAATAGCAAGGGAACGTAGCATGATAAAATGCATTCTGGGACAAATAAATTGGTCTTGGATAACAAAATAGTGAAGATAGAAATACTGTATCAAGAGCAAATTTTATACTACACATGCTTCTCTGCTCCTATTGCTTGCCTTCTCATCATCAATTGGGTGAAAGCAAAAACATAACCCAACATTAGATTATATATTATTTCAACAAAGAGGATTTTGCAAAGGAATCTGCAAACAAAGCCCAGAGGGGCCCTAGGCATGTGTAGAAAGAACTATAACATGTAGAAATAGCCTGGCTTCACAAATGTTGCAAACTAATCACCATCAGCTTATATGTAACCACATCCGGAGAAAGGGAGAGAACAACAACAAACATGTGAGCAAAATTTAACAAAAACTCCAACCACAAATCTTTCAAAAATAAAGGTGCTGAATTGCATATTAGAATTTCATTAGTTCTACCTGAAAGCACCTCCTAAATCCTTATCCAAGCAAACCAACCAAACTCTCTGCAAAATAAGTTGAACCATAAATGAAATAATCATATATAAACTAAAGAGAGAAAATTTGAACAAATTAACACACACAAAATCTGGATGGTGGGTGATAAAACCTCCCATGCAGTATTGTGATGAATTTTCCAATTTGCACATTCATACATTTTAGCATTTGTACATGACCACAGGCCACACACCAATACCAATCAGTACAAAGAATTGAAAAAGTACGGTGTATTTACAGTACACATCAGCCCGTACAACAAAGATCTGGACACATATAAGACCGGAACGACAATCTAAATTTACAGTAAGTATGCATCTCTTCCACTAAAAGAACACAGATGCCTTGAGGGGAACAACACATGCATAAAGATCTGGACAACCATAGTACGGGACGACCTCATCTTCCTGCTCCTACCTTAAACAATAGAGGGACTATTTCGATTGGGATCCGGCGTACATATCCATGCTTGGCACCGGTCTGGATCCATCACGCCGCCGATCTGCGATTGGGGGTCGGCGCGCTCACCCTTCGCAGCGCCAGCTACTCCGATTGGAAATCAGGCCTTCCACCCAATCTAACTAAAAAACACCGTTCAGATCTGTGGACATAGAAAGGAAGGAGAGCCCCCACCTCTAACTCATGCGGTGTTGAAGGAGGTCGCTGATGGTGGCACGCATGGTTCACCGGGAGGTCAGGTCAGCGATCATGGGGTGCCCGGAAGGCGGCAGGCCGCAGGTCTCTAGGGTCGATGGCCAGAGAGGCTTGGCCAGCAGCGGCGTCACAAATACAGATGTGGGAGAAGAATTGGGAGGATAAATACTGGTGGAAGGGAGCTGAAAGGAACAGTCGCGTGAAGAAATATAAGAGGAAGGGGCAGGAATTTGTGCGATGGTGGTAAAAGTATCAAACGCTTCGTTTCTCATTAAAAAAAGAAAAAAAACTATTTTTTTTAATTAAGAAAAAAAACTGTTGAAAAACTGTTGAGATGGAGCGAGCGAGACGGCTGGAAATAAACGAAGCGGTATCTATTACTTAGCGGTGGCAACTCCGAGTAATATCTTCAACTTTCTATCGGACGACTGCACAGTCTCGAGCTATACTGCATCAACGGCTAAAACAATTCGGATGACGTGGCTTGATGAGAAGGCAGGAAAATCACCTAATGGGATGCTCCTATTTAGATATAGAAAATTGGCCCCCTATAATCCCATATGCATTAATTTCTATGGTGTGGCGAGATATTTTAGTAAATACTGCAACCTTATGTATAGTCCTATCAACATAATAGTAACCTGTAACACCCCGGATGTAATTTACCTAATATGTACTTCAACTCTTGCCGTTTTCGGTGCTAAGTTATTTTATTTCCTCGGGTTCGGGTTTTTGTCTCCGTGTGTTGTTGTCGTTGTCATACATCTCATATCATGTCATCATGTGCATTGCATTTGCATATGTGTTCATCTCATGCATCCGACCATTTCCTTAGTTGTCCGTTTTGCATTCCGGCGCTCCTATCTCCTCCGGTGGTCCTTTCTACCTTCTTTTCGTGTGTGGGGGTTAAACATTTCCGGATTGGACTGAGACTTGCCAAGCGGCCTTGGTTTACTACCGATAGACCGCCCGTCAAGTTTCGTTCCAT